CCCCAGACAGACGCTCCCGGGGTTCCCACCGTTGCAGGTTCTCCACGGGACCCAGTGAAGGGCGAGGCGGGAAGGAAAGGACCCAGCGGCATATCTGAAAGTACACAGAAGCAGCAGAGCTCGTGGGCCAAGTCCCAGAGAACCGCAGAATGCTGTGGAATTCACTTTGAGTCAGAAGAATGTCAGGGGAAAGAACCTGGAAGAGGATAAACTAATTTTCTAAGAAAGTTTGGGTCTCCTCTGACTTACTAATGTAGACCTGTTTGCAGACACTTCAAAAGTGCCCCCTGGAGGGGAGGGGGGGAGGGGGGGGCTCTGCGGAGCTCCTGCCAGCCTGAGGGCCCTCCGGGACTCCCACGGGAGTCCGCCCACCTGGCATTTGCCACCAGCCTCCGCCTGCTGGAGGCCCTCCCGGTCCTCGTGCTGGGTAACGGGGCCCCGGACCTCCCCGCCTCGGCCATGACGGGGCGCCCAGCCCACAGGGCTGCACGGGGGCCTCCTGCATCCTCGCGCTGTCTGGTGGGCGTGTGCACAGCGTGGTCGGCACAGGGAAAACAGTAATTTCCTCAGTGGAGGCTACTTCTGTTAATCTCTCTTTACACTGGAAATGGTATTTCTGCTGTGACAATTTTTTAGTCTTGTCAGGTCTTCTCTCTGGAAAGAAACTGCTTAACTTAAAATTCCATGTGCCACTAATAAAATCTATTTTGAAAGAATAACAGTGTGGTTAGGAGTCACTGTTGACAAAGACCAGAATGTCCATACTGGGCATGTTGGAGGGTGTTCAGAGGAAAGGAGCCTCTTCTGAACAGGTAAGGGAGAGACCCGACCGCCGCTCATGGGGATCAGCAGGGCTAATGATCAGCATTCTCACGGTTTGCCAGACAGCCGCCAGCTTCCAGCTCCCGGCCGTGACCTTCAAGGACAGGCGGCCGCTCTGGGCCTCGGAGGTGGAGGTGGTGCGTGGAGGCAGCACTGAGTTGCATCCTGACTGGCCCCCACTGCCCAGGGGACCCTGGACAAGTTAACTGCTAGGAAAGTTTTCATCTACAAGATGGAGCATTCTAGGGGCGCCTGGGTGGCTCAGTCGGTTGAGCGACCGACTTCGGCTCAAGTCATGATCTCACAGTTCGTGAGTTCGAGCCCCACGTCAGGCTCTGCTGACAGTTCAGAGCCTGGAGTCTGTTTCAGATTCTGTGTCTCCCTCTCTCTGCCCCACCCCCTGCTCAGTCTCTCTCTCTCTCAAAAATGAATAAACATTAAAAACCAAAATGATGCTGTGGCAATGAGGATTTTTTGAGGGAGGCAGATTAGTTTGCTCCGGCCAACAGCCGAACAGCACAGGAGCTTACACAGCAAAGTTATTTCTCACAGTTCTCGAAGTCCAAGATCAAGGTGTCGGCAGGCTCAGTTTCTCCTGAGGTTTCTCCTGAGACCTCTCTTTGGCTTGCAGATGGCCGCCTTCTCACTGTGTCCTCACATGGTCTTTTCTCCGTGCGCATCTGTGGCCAACTTTCCTCTTCTGATGGGGACACCCAAGTCAGATGGGGTGAGGGCCTAACAGCCTCATCTTAACTCAGCCACCTCTTCAGAGGCCCTGCCTCCACATGCAGTCACATGCTCAAGTACTGGGTGTTAGGGCTTCCACTTAAAGGTTTTGAGGGGACACGATTCAGCCCACAAAGGAGACAAAGCGGAACTACATTAGGGATTGGAAAAGGAGAGGATGAAGAAGTGAGAGAGAAGGGAGGAGGAAGGGGTAGGGAGCAAGGCCAGCTGAAGGACCTCAGTCTGTGCTCATCAGTCCAGCCTTTCAAAAGGGGAGCGACCCTAGTTCAAACACTGCTGGGGGCTTTGAAGGCTCGGCTTGGGAACCTCCTGGGTTTGACCTCTTTGGCCGGGTAGTGCAGTTAGGTAAGCGTTCGTCAGCCCCCTTGTACAGCCCTGGGTCAATGGCAAGTCACCTGCGTGGGAATGTAAGCTGGTGCAGTCACTCTGGAAAACAGCATGGAGGTTCCTCAAAAAACTAAAAATAGAACTACCCTATGACCCAGCAATTGCACTACTAGGCATTTATCCAAGGGATACAGGGGTGCTGTTTCAAAGGGACACATGCACCCCATGTTTATAGCAGCACTACCAACAATAGCCAAAGTATGGAAAGAGCCCAAATGTCCATCGATGGATGAATGGATGAAGAAGATGTGGGATATATATACAATGGAGTATTACTTGGCAATCAAAAAGAATGAAATCTTGCCATTTGTAACTACATGGATGGAACTAGAGGGTATTATGCTAAGTGAAATGAGTCAGAGAAAGACAAAAGTCATATGACTTCACTCCTATGAGGACTTTAAGAGACAAAACAGATGAACATAAGGGAAGGGAAACAAAAATAATATAAAAACAGGGAGGGGGACAAAACAGAAGAGACTCATAAATATGGAGAACAAACAGGGTTACTGGCGGGGGTGGGCTAACTGGGTCAGGGGCACTAAGGAATCTCCTGAAATCATTGTTGCACCATATGCTAACTAATTTGGATGTAAATTTTAAAAAATAAAATTTAAAAATTAAAAAAAAGGGGGATCCTGGGAAGATGGCGGCGTAGGAGGATGCTGGGCTCACCGTGGGTCCTGCTGATCACTTAGATTCCACCTACACCTCCCTAAATAACCCAGAAAACCGCCAGAAGACTAGCAGAATGGAGTCTCCAGAGCCAAGCACAGACGAGAGGCCCATGGAAGAGGGGCCCCTCCCGAAGCGGATCTCTGAAGGAAAAGTGAGCTGAGCCTGCCCCTCCCAACCCATGCACCTTGCCGATCCACCCCAGCTAATACGCCAGATCCCCAGCACCACAAGTCTGGCAGTGTGCAAGTAGCCCAGACGGGCCACGCCACCCCACAGTGAATCCCACCCCTAGGAGAGGGGAAGAGAAGACACACACCAGTCTGTGGCCCCAGTGGTGGGCTGGGGGCAGACATCAGGTCTGACTGCGGCCCCGCCCACCAACTCCAGTTATACACCACAGCACAGGGGAAGTGCCCCGCAGTCCCGCACCACTCCAGGGACTACCCAAAATGACAAAACGGAAGAATTCCCCTCAAAAGAATCTCCAGGAAATAGCGACAGCTAACGAACTGATCAAAAAACGATTTAAACAATATAAAAGAAAGTGAATTTAGAATAATCGTCATAAAATTAATCGCTGGGCTTGAAAACAGTATAAAGGACAGCAGAGAATCTCTTGCTACAGACATCAAGGGACTAAGGAACAGCCAGGAGCTAAAAAATGCTATCAATGAACTGCAAAATAAAATGGAGACAACCACGGCTCGGATTGAAGAGGCAGAGGAGAGAATAGGTGAACTAGAAGATAAAATTATGGAAAAAGAAGAAGCTGAGGAAAAGAGAGATAAAAAAATCCAGGAGTATGAGGGGAAAATTAGAGAACTAAGTGATGCACTAAAGAGAAATAATCTACGCATAATTGGTATTCCCGAGGAGGAAGAGAGAGGGAAAGGTGCTGAAGGTGTACTTGAAGAAATCATAGCTGAGAACTTCCCTGATCTGGGGAAGGAAAAAGGCATTGAAATCCAAGAGGCACAGAGAACTCCCTTCACACGTAACTTGAATCGATCTGCACGACATATCATAGTGAAACTGGCAAAATATAAGGATAAAGAGAAAATTGTGAAAGCAGCTAGAGATAACGTGCTCTAACATATAAAGGGAGACCTATAAGACTCATGACTGATCTCTCTACTGAAACTTGGCAGGCCAGAAAGGAATGGCAGGAAATCTTCAATGTGATGAACAGAAAAAATATGCAGCCGAGAATCCTTTATCCAGCAAGTCTGCCATTTAGAATAGAAGGAGAGATAAAGGTCTTCCCAAACAAACAAAAACTGAAGGAATTCGTCACCACTAAACCAGCCCTACAAGAGATCCTAAGGGGGATCCTGTGAGACAAAGTACCAGAGACATCGCTACAAGCATGCAACCTACGGACATCACAATGACTCTAAACCCATATCTTTGTATAATAACACTGAATGTAAATGGACTAAATGAGCCAACCAAAAGACATAGGGTATCAGAATGGATAAAAAAACAAGACCCATCTATTTGCTGTCTTCAAGAGACTCATTTTAGACCTGAGGACACCTTCAGATTGAGAGTGAGGGGATGGAGAACTATTTATCATGCCACTGGAAGTCAAAAGAAAGCTGGAGAAGCCATACTTATATCAGACAAACTAGACTTTAAATTAAAGTCTGTAACAAGAGATGAAGAAGGGCATTATATAATAATCACAGGGTCTATCCATCAGGAAGAGCTAGCAATTATAAATGTCTATGCGCCGAATACAGGAGCCCCCAAATATATAAAACAATTACTCACAAACATAAGCAACCTTATTGATAAGAATGTGGTGATTGCAGGGGACTTTAACACTCCACTTACAAAAATGGATAGATCATCTAGACACACGGTCAATAAAGAAACAAGGGCCCTGAATGATACATTGGATCAGATGGACTTGACAGATATATTTAGAACTCTGCATCCCAAAGCAACAGAATATACTTTTTTCTCGAGTGCACATGGAACATTCTCCAAGATAGATCACATACTGGGTCACAAAACAGCCCTTCATAAGTATACAAAAATTGAAATCATACCATGCATACTTTCAGACCACAATGCTATGAAGCTTGAAATCAACCACAGGAAAAAGTCTGGAAAACCTCCAAAAGCATGGAGGTTAAAGAACACCCTACTAAAGAATGAATGGGTCAACCAGGCAATTAGAGAAGAAATTTAAAAATATACGGAACCAAATGAAAATGAAAATACAACAATCCAAACGCTTTGGGATGCAGTGAAGGCAGTCCTGAGAGGAAAATACATTGCAATCCAGGCCTATCTCAAGAAACAAGAAAAACCCCAAATACAAAATCTAACAGCACACCTAAAGGAAATAGAAGCAGAACAGCAAAGACAGCCTAAATCCAGCAGAAGAGGAGAAATAATAAAGATCAGAGCAAAAATAAACAATATAGAATCTAAAAAAACTGTAGAGCAGATCAACGAAACCAAGAATTGGTTTTTTGAAAAAATAAACAAAATTGATAAACCTCTAGCCAGGCTTCTCAAAAAGAAAAGGGAGATGACCCAAATAGATAAAATCATGAGTGAAAATGGAATTATTACAACCAATCCCTCATAGATACAAGCAATTATCAGGGAATACTATGAAAAATTATATGCCAACAAACTGGACAACCTGGAAGCAATGGACAAATTCCTAAACACCCACACGCTTCTAAAACTCAATCAGGAGGAAATAGAAAGCTTGAACAGAGCCATAACCAGCGAAGAAATGGAATCAGTCATAAAAAATCTCCCAATAAATAAGAGTCCAGGACCAGATGGCTTCCCAGGGGAGTTCTACCAGACGTTTAAAGCAGAGACAATACCTATCCTTCTCAAGCTATTCCAAAAAATAGAAAGGGAAGGAAAACTTCCAGACTCATTCTATGAAGCCAGTATTACTTTGATTCCTAAACCAGACAGAGACCCAGTAAAAAAAAGAGAACTACAGGCCAATATCCCTGATGGATATGGATGCAAAAATTCTCAATAAGATACTAGCAAATCGAATTCAACAGCATATAAAAAGAATTATTCACCATGATCAAGTGGGATTCATTCCTGGGATGCAGGGCTGGTTCACATTCGCAAATCAATCAATGTGATACATCACATTAATAAAAGAAAAGATAAGAACTATATGATCCTGTCAATCGATGCAGAAAAGGTCTTTGACAAAATTCAGCAACGTTTCTTAATAAAAACCCTCGAGAAAGTCGGGATAGAAGGAACATACTTAAAGATCATAAAAGCCACTTATGAAAAGCCCACAGCTAACATCATCCTCAATGGGGAAAAACTGAGAGCTTTTTCCCTGAGATCAGGAACACGACAGGGATGCCCACTCTCACCGCTGTTGTTTTAACATAGTGTTGGAAGTTCTAGCATCAGCAATCAGACAACAAAAGGAAATCAAAGGCATCAAAATTGGCAAAGATGAAGTTAAGCTTTCACTTTTTGCAGATGACATGATATTATACATGGAAAATCCGATAGACTCCACCAGAAGTCTGCTAGAACTGATACATGAATTCAGCAAAGTTGCAGGATACAAAAATCAATGTACAGAAATCAGTTGCATTCTTATACACTAATAATGAAGCAACAGAAAGACAAATAAAGAAACTGATCCCATTCACAATTGCACCAAGAAGCATAAAATACCTAGGAATAAATCTAACCAAAGATGTAAAGGATCTGTATGCTGAAAACTATAGAAAGCTTATGAAGGAAATTGAAGAAGATATAAAGAAATGGAAAAACATTCCGTGCTCATGGATTAGAAGAATAAATATTGTCAAAATGTCAATACTACCCAAAGCTATCTACACATTCAATGCAATCCCAATCAAAATTGCACCAGCATTCTTCTCGAAACTAGAACAAGCAATCCTAAAATTTGTATGGAACCACAAAAGGCCCTGAATAGCCAAAGTAATTTTGAAGAAGAAGACCAAAGCAGGAGGCATCACAATGCCAGACTTTAGCCTCCACTACAAAGCTGTAATCATCAAGACAGCATGGTATTGGCACAAAAACAGACACATAGACCAATGGAATAGAATAGAAACCCCACAACTAGACCCACAAACGTATGGCCACTCATCTCTGACAAAGCAGGAAAGAACATCCAATGGAAAAAAGACAGTCTCTTTAACAAATGGTGCTGGGAGAACTGGACAGCAACATGCAGAAGATTGAAACTAGACCACTTTCTCACACCATTCACAAAAATAAACTCAAAATGGATAAAGGACCTGAATGTGAGATGGGAAACCATCAAAACCCTAGAGGAGAAAGCAGGAAAAGACCTCTCTGACCTCAGCCGTAGCAATTTCTTACTTGACACATCCCCAAAGGCAAGGGAATTAAAAGCAAAAATGAACTACTGGGACCTTATGAAGATAAAAAGCTTCTGCACAGCAAAGGAAACAACCAACAAAACTAAAAGGCAACCAACGGAATGGGAAAAGATATTTGCAAATGACATATCGGACAAAGGGCTAGTATCCAAAATCTAGAAAGAGCTCACCAAACTCCACACCTGAAAAACAAATAATCCAGTGAAGAAATGGGTAGAAAACATGAATAGACACTTCTCTAAAGAAGACATCCGGATGGCCAACAGGCACATGAAAAGATGCTCAACGTCGCTCCTCATCAGGGAAATACAAATCAAAACCACACTCAGATATCACCTCACGCCAGTCAGAGTGGCCAAAATGAACAAATCAGGAGACTATAGATGCTGGCGAGCATGTGGAGAAACGGGAACCCTCTTGCACCGTTGGTGGGAATGCAAATTGGTGCAGCCACTCTGGAAAACAGTGTGGAGGTTCCTCAAAAATTTAAAAATAGACCTACCCTATGACCCAGCAATAGCACTGCTAGGAATTTACCCAAGGGATACAGGAGTACTGATGCATAGGGGCACTTGTACCCCAATGTTTATAGCAGCACTCTCAACAATAGCCAAATTATGGAAAGAGCCTAAATGTCCATCAACTGATGAATGGAGAAAGAAATTGTGATTTATATACACAATGGAGTACTACATGGCAATGAGAAAGAATGAAATATGGCCCTTTGTAGCAACGTGGGTGGAACTGGAGAGTGTGATGCTAAGTGAAATAAGCCATACTGAGAAAGACAGATACCATATGGTTTCACTCTTATGTGGATCCTGAGAAACTTAACAGAAACCCATGGGGGAGAGGAAGGAAAAAAAAAAAAGAGGTTAGAGTGGGAGAGAGCCAAAGCATAAGAGACTCTTAAAAACTGAGAACAAACTGAGGGTTGATGGGGGGTGGGAGGGAGAGGGGGGTGGGTGATGGCTATTGAGGAGGGCACCTTTTGGGATGAGCACTGGGTGTTGTATGGAAACCAATTTGACAATAAACTTCATATATTGAAAAAAAAAAAAAAGAGAGAACAAGTTGAGGGTTACTGGAAAGGAGGAGGGATGGGTTAAATGGGTGACAGGTTAAGGAGGGCATTTGTGATGATGACCACTGGGTTGTATGTAAGTGATGAGTCACTAAATTCTGCATCTGAAACTCACATTACCCTGTATGTTAACCAACTTGAATTTAAATAAAAACTTGAAGGAAAAAAAATTTTTTTTTTTTAAAGAGAGAAAGTCACCTGCACCAGCCCGGGATTCCCTCAGCAGAGACGGTGTGTGTTTCTCTGTGCGGCTCCACACTTTATCCAGTGAGCGGGACACTGTGAAAGAGAATGAGAATCTTTTTACCACTTCCGTACCACAAGAGGGCAGCAAACTACAAAACGTCCATCGTTTCAGCCCAAAAGAAAGCTAACTTCCCGGACTGCGTGAGAATAATCAGAAAATTTGGAAGCAAAAGAGGGAGGGGGGAAAGAGAAAATCCCAAGCAGGCTCCGCGTTGTCAGCACAGAGCCCAATGCAGGGCTCAAACGTGCGAACTGCCAGATGGTGACCTGAGCCAAAACCAAGAGTTAGATGCTCAACCAACTGAGCCACCCAGGCGTCCCGACCTTCATTTTTGTCTACATACTACAGTTTTAGAGCAGCATTGTCAAGAAAAGAAAAAAAATGCTAGCAAATTCCCCAAAGAACCCATCGAAATCAAGTCTCTGACTCTTAAAACAGCAGATACCTGTTGTGCACCTGCTGCCAGATGCCAGGGACCCCAGGTGAGCACGGCCAGGCCCCCCAGCCTCTGCCCTTGGTTGCTCCTTCCAACCAGGAAGACAGATAAACTGTATTTGGCCTAAACTCGCCAAAAACGCCAAAACTGTGGGATAAGGAGCACAAGAGGGGCCCAGAGCCGAGGATGGGTGTCTGCCCCCCACGGATGCTGCGCTCAGCCCATCCTGTTGGGCTGAAAGAGAAAAGTCCTGGGAAGGAAGGGCCTTTAACCTCATAGCTGTTGCACAATAAATGTTTGGGTTTTGTTTTTTCCAATAATGTCCTTCCTAGACGTGTTCTTTTCTGTCATGAGAGATCACAAACCCTGAGGGCAAAGGGAAGTGGAGTGGGATGTGCTTTGGTCCTTGTCAGGGTCCCTGTCATCCGAAGTGGATGGTGTTCGGGGAAGCTGGCGGGGGACACAGCCTTTCAGCCCGACGCCAGCTCTGCGGCCCTCTGGGCAGCCTTCACTTATGCACAGACCAGCACTGCATTCAGACTTTGTAGCAACCAAGGAGCTGGGACGAGCTCCCACAGGACCGTGTCCAGCTCAGGAAAACCAGGTGTTTTCCTGAAACCCAGAAAACAGTTGGGAGGAGATTTGGGCCTGGAACACAGGAAGGCTCGGGGCCAGGAGTAGGTGTGAGTGCATTAGTGGTCCTACCCGGAATGTAAGTACCATTCAGTGGGAAAGCACCTTCCTCCTGTGCCCCATCCCACTTCCGGACACCCCAAAACAGCTGAGCACAGCCACACATAGCTGGTCTCCTGCAGGAAGTTAAAGATGAGGGGAGGGGCACAGGGATGGCCCTGCCCTTTTGAAAGATGAAAAAAGGCTCAGAGAAACCGGACGTTACCCCCCAACCCCGCTCCCCCCACCCACCCCAGAGCATTCATTCCGCTCAGGGTAAACAGAGGTTTATTTCCGCCTCTCTGTTCCCAAATCCTGAAGCGTCCTTATCACCTCTCTCTGGCTCCCAGGGCCCACCCCCAGGACCTACGTAGGGGTGACCATTGCCAAGAGCACTGCCGGTGAGAAGAAGGGCAGGACACCACGTTTTAACAACTTTATCCTTCAGAGTCTGCGTTTTTCCCCCAACCCACTATTCAAGGGAAGATGGATTTTTCAGACCATGAGTAAGGTAGGTCAGGCATGGACGGGGTTGACAGAGGAAACCAGGCTGGGATTCCCTCTCTCACGTCGTCACAGGGACACTGGGGGCCGGGCCCGCCACACCGAACACCAATGTGGACGTCCCTTCTGCTGAAAAAGCCTCCAGGGCCGGGCTGTGGGAACAGGACGGGGCTCAAGTTTTGGAAAGGGAAGTGGGGGTCTGTGCCAAAAAGCACAAGGCCTCACCCAGGAGCTTGGCAAAGAGAGTGAGTTGGCGTCAGAAGAGCAGGTGGGGATCGAGTTCACCCCGTGAGGCCACCGGGAACAGCGGCCACCCTTCCCAGGTCACTTTCCCTTCCCAGCTGGGCTCACCTTCGACCTTTCCCAAGGCCAGCCCAGGCACAGGAGGAACAAGAGGTACCCCAAGGGCCTCTCAGGCAAAGGGCAATTTTCCAGAGTATTTACTGATTCATTAGCACAGGTGGATGCCGGTCTCACAACAAATCCAAGAACATTTACCGTGGAAGCAGAATGAGAACAGAGACTGGGGTTCTCTCACCTTCCACCCCAATGTCCCACCGTCCACCCAGCGCCAGATCCCTGGGGGGGGGGGGGGGGGGGCTGAACTCCTGAACTCTCTCCTGCAACGTTCTGCTCAGACACCAAATATTTGAATCACTTAAAAAGTTAAGAAAGGCCACAGTGAGCTCTTCCCTTCCTCCCTTCCGCCTGTTCCCCTCCCTCCCCCTGGGCCCACTCAGCCTGCAGCGCGCTGTGGGCCCGCGTGCTTCCCCGGTGACCTCACCCTGGATCTGGCCTTTCCGCCCGGAGCCTCCCCAATCTTCCTGGCCATCTCTGCTCATCTAATCTCTGGCTCTTGCACGGATATCACACCCTGGATGCCTCGTGACTAAAAACTCTGAGCTTCCCCCCCACCGAAGCCTCTTCTTACCCTGTCCCTGTCTGTTAGAAATTCCAGCGTGTTTGTCCGCTGCTCCCGATGGACAGGACGCAGGGTGGGGCACCCTCCAGAACAGAATCTGCCCCCTCCCCCAACACGCTCAGCATTCCCGGCTCCAAGACCTCACACGGATGTGCTGCAGAAAACAGGCCGCCAGTCCCTCCCTGGGAGTGCCACACGGCCGCCTTTATTTCACCAGTGAGCCCTACCCGTGTGTGGACCCCCGAACTGTCAGGCTGGAAGGCCTCCACCGTGGCCAGCTCTGTGGTGACCTCCCTGGGCTTCATCTTACTTGAAAGAAAAGGTTCCAGCACCTGCTTCCTGTCTCTAATCACTGGGATCATGGCCCAACCACCCCTTCCCCAGCTGGGCCAGCCCCCTGACCGGGCAGGGGACTCAGACCATCGTCCTGTCAGTTTGGGCAGAATGCTCGAGGCTCCTCTATCAGCCGGCAAGCAAAGCTGCCCTGCCCTTCTTGGGGTCAGCTCCGTGACGGGGTGCGGTCTGGCACACGCAGGACCCGCGTCAGGCCACTTGGCTGCAGCCCTAGGGTTCCCGGGCTCTGAGGCCCCAGGCCCCTGGGCCACACACAGCCCAGCTTCTGAGCCCATCTCCAAGTCAAGGTTTCCCAAGGGGGCTGCCTGCGTGGCAGCTGGGCCTGTGCTCAAGTATGAAGACAGAAGAATGAGGAACCCCTCTCCTTGTTCCTTGGGCTCGCAGCCCCGAAGCCAGCCCATCGAGGCCTTGTCCTCCTCCCAGGAGCCCCATCCCGCCCACCCTCAAGGATTAGGTCCACAAGAGCCTCCAGCCGTTCCTCTGCCGACTGTATCAAACCTAAACCCCCTGACTGGCTTCTAAGACCCCAGAAGGCCAACTCCTCCTGGCTGCAGGGGGGTAGCCCACTGCCCTCAGGATGGGAGAGGCTCCTCAGGCCTCTGCACATCCTATTCCCTCCCCCGATACACCTTTCCACCCGTAAAAGGCATGTTTAGGGGCACTCGGGTGGCTCAGTCAGTTAAGCGTCCCACTTCGGCTCAGGTCATGATCCCACAGTCCATGGGTTCGAGCCCCACGTTGGGCTCTGTGCTGACAGCTCGGGGCCTGGAGCCTGCTTCGGATTCTGCGTCTCCCTCTCTCTCAAAAGTAAATAAACATTTTAAAATATTTAAAAAAAAAAAAAAAAGCATGTTTAAAGGGGGAACAACAGTAACCTCCCTCAGAGGGCTGTTGTGGGGTTCAATTACTTAATCCGTGGAAAATTCTTAGACGTGTGCCTGGCATATAGCGAACTCTCGGTAACCGTTAGCGATTGCTATCGTGTTATTTTGCTCCCAAGCCACGCCAACCGCAGTGAAGCCTTCCATTTCTGAGCCCCTACCACTCTTCAGGGTCACCTCCTGAAACGGGCCTCTGTTTCACGGACCCAAAAGTTGGCTTTGATCATGCGGGACGAGGGGCCAGGCACTCAGCCAACAGGCCTGTCTGTGCCTGTGTGGCCATGCCAGCACAAAGCATAAACCCCGTTTCCTATTTTGCGGGGCTTACAAAGCACTTTCACGTCTATTTCTGCCTTTGTGGAGTAGGCAGAGCAGAAATCATTGTTGCCATGTTCCAAAGTGGCCCACTTAGCCTTCGGGCCTAGCTCTGTCTGACTCCAGGCCCCGCGCCCTTTCCTCAGCACCAGGCTGGAGTCACAACCAGTGAGGTGCACCTTCCTGAGGAGCTGGGGTGCCACAGGCATTCGAGACAGCGGCCCGATGAAAACCAGACGCTCTACCCCCCCCCCCCCCCCCCCCCCCGTCTCTGGGCCAGCTCCCAGGACGGAAAGGGCAACTGATATGTGGCCCCCGAGCCCAGCCCGCCCCGCGAGCTCAGCTCCTGGCAGAAAGACCTCACCGAGGAAAGCCTCTCACCAGAGCTGGGGCCGGACTGCGGGCTTCAGAAGAAGGAGTGGCCGAGGCCAGCTGTGCTGCCACTGACCCCTCTAACCCCACCAACCTAGCCAGCCAGGTGCTACTCTCGTTTTCCAGACAGGAAACCAAGGCTTGGAGAGATGCGACCTCCCCAACTCGCAAGCGGGGACGCCTGAGGACAGCTGGGTTACAGCCCCGGTCACAACCCCCTCCCCACCCACAGTTAGAGGCCGGGCCCACCAGGATGCCGCTGGGCCTCAGTATTGGGTTCAGTGGGCTCGGGGTCCCCTTGCTATCGAGGGAGAGGAGTCACCTCCCAGCCACGGTGAAGGCCCTCTTGGCAGTCCCCAGCTGGCCAGGGGCTTCCAGAATGGGAGTGGGGCAGGGTGAGGCAGGATGGGCGAGGTGACCCACTGAGGATAGGACAGACAGCAAGGGAGTCCACGCCTAGGGCGCCCCAGCTCAAGAGCCCAGGCTTCCCCCCCCCCCCGGGGGCCATTTCTCTAGCTGACTCCCCCACCTCGATGATACGAGGGCCTGTGCGGCTGAGGTGTGAGTGTGGGGTGGTGTCTGTGTGAACGAGTCCAAGCTCAGGAGTCCAGTCGGGGGGACTGTTCACACGCCTTCAACAAACATAACAGCCGTGGCCACAAAGTAGAGCGACAACGAACTCAAACTCCACCCCAGCCTGGGTCTTCTAGAAGACGCGGTGAATTGAACTGTGGATCGGTACCTGGCTTTGTCCACCTCCCCTGTCGTAACAAAGCCTGTTCTCCAACGTCCACCGGTCACCGGATGTGCTCCATCCAGGCCCACCGCCCCCGTCGCTCCCATTCCCCACGAAGCCAGGCCCAGACCCCACTTCCATGCCTTTTGTATCTGTGTCCTGCGACCAAGGTAAACTCGAACGTCCCCCTCGGGCAATCAAGGCTCTGTGTGGATGTCAGGCTCTTGCCCCGAGGTCCCAAGCCTTCTCTCTCAGTGCATCAGCTTCCACCATGCTGGCATCGCCTGTGGCCCCGCTCCCGGGGGCCCCGAGCTTCACACACCCCACCTCTGTCCCAAATGCTCTCCCCTGCCCCTCACTAGACAAGGCCTGCCGATCTCACAGAGCTCACCCAAGGAACGCCTCCTCCAGCACCCGACCCGGAGATTCATCTGGCACACCCAAATCTCTCCTTCGTGGAAACTGTCATCCTGGGGATTAACGTCTGTGTGTCACTCTAGACACGGTCCCCAGAACCGGTACCTGGCTGGCCTTCACACATAAGGGCCGAATGAAAGAACGGTGATGGAGGTGCCGGCCTCTCCCGGCTCTGACCTTGTTTGCCCCCAGTGCCCCCCAGATCCAGCGCAAAGACACCTCCTCCAGGAAGCCTCTCTGCTCCCACTCGGAACTCGTCTTTTCCTCCTCTGAGGACTGCCCATGAACCGTGGTCACCTTTGTCCATCTGCCTCCTCACACGGTTGGGAGACCCTCGAGGCGGCGCCCTAGGCCCGGCCAACCAAGTTGCCCACTGCACCCCTCTTCCCACACAAGCCGCGTCCTCAGGAAAGCCTTGGCTTTCTCTCATCACTGACTGAACTCCAGCAGCCTCTGAGAGGCAGGGCTGGTGGCCTCCATTAGCCCTAATTCACAGGGGAGACCTCTGAGGCTAAGAGGGAAAAGGCTCAAAGTTCTGCATGATTCTAAACACCCGCACACTCAGCGCCGTGGGGCCTGCTGAGAGGAAGGAGCCCCAGAAGCACCCGCCTTTGCCCACAAGGGTCCAAGAGGAAAAGAGAGGACTTAATCACTTCAGTCAGGATTGCATTTTAAAACTTACTTTTGGGGTGCCTGGGTGGCTCAGTCGGTTAAGCATTCCATTCTTGACTTCGGCTCAGGTCATGAGCTAACAGTTCGTGAGTTCAAGCCCCGGGTAGGGCTCTGTGCTCACGGCATGGAGCCTGCTTGGAATTCCTTCTGTCTCTACCCTTTCTGCACTCTCTCTCCCTCAAAATAAGTAAATAAACTTTATTAATTAATTAATTTAAAAAACTTACTCTCAGGGCAGCTGGGTGGCTCAGTGAGTTAAGCTTCTGACTTCCGCTCAGGTCATGACCTCGAAGTTTGTAAGTTCAAGCCCCACATCAGGCTCTGGGCTGACAGCACAGGGCCCACTTGGGATCCTCTGTCCCCCTCTCCCTCCCCCTCCTCCACTCGCACGCACTCTCTCTTTCTCTCTCTCTCTCTCTCTCTCCCTCAAAAATAAATAAATAAACTTAAAAAAAATTAAAACTGGGGCTCCTAGGTGGTTCAGTCGGTTAAGATTCCGGTTTCAGCTCAGGTCATGATCTCATGGTTCGTGAGTTCGAGCCTCATGAAGGGCTCTGTGCCGACAGCTCCCAAGCCTGGAGCCAGATTCGGATTCTGTGTCTCCCTCTCTCTCCTCCCCTCTTCCACTCATGCTCGCGCTCTCTCTCTCTCTCTCTGTCTCTCTCAAAAATAAATACACATTAAAAAAAATTTTTTTAATTAAAATTTACTCTTTAGCAGTTAGGACCACCGAGGAGGATGTTACTACCCGAAAACATCAAGATGACATTTACCGAATTTACTTCCTATTTGCCAGAGTTCTGTCAGCCCCTTCCCAGCACAGAATCTTCTCTCCCTTCAGAACTGTCAGGTCTAATTCTATGAACCAATTTTTATTGGCAAAAATAGTTACTGTAATAAAAGTTTAAAAGACGCTCAACATCACTCATCATCAGGGAGACACAGACCAAACCCACAATGAGATACCCCCTCACGCCCGTCAGGATGGCTAAAAGTAAGTATGGGCGAGGACGTGGCGAAAAGGGAACCCTCGTGCACTGTTGGTGGGAATTGGTGCAGCCCCTGGGGAAAACAACATGGAGGTTCCTCCAAAAAACTTACAAATAGAATTGCCATGTGGTCCAGCAATCCCATTTCTGGATATATTCAAAGAAAACGAAAACACTGGGGCACCTGGGTGGCTCAGTCGGTTGAGCGTCCAACTCTTGATTTCGGCTCAGGTCATGATCCCAGGGCCATGGGATTGAGCCCCACGTCGGGCTCCCTGCTGGGTGTGAAATCTTGGAGCCTGCTTGGGATTCTCTCTCTCTCCCTCTGCCGCTCTCCCCCACTCATGCTCTCTCTCTCTAAAATA